ATCATGGATACGGAAACTCCTCCGGACATTATAGCGGTACAAGAATCTGGAGACAAATGTAACCTGCCAGGGTACGCAAGATTCGATGCAGAAGTTCAGCCAAACGGAAAAACGGTTCATACTTTCGTCAGACGACATCTCCCAGTCAAGCAACACGAAGTTGACCTGGATGAATCGGTGAAAGCAATAGTCACGGAAATTATACCGAAGAAAAAGAAGCACAAAAGCTTATTCATCTGTAACGTTTACTCGAACCCCAAAGACACCACGAGCGCATGCGCCAAGGTCTTTGCAGAGACGAGCCGCGTAGCGGGTGAAAATCCGACACTGGTGCTGGGCGATTTCAATGCGCACAACACCATATGGGGCTACGGCAGAGACACACCCAAGGGGAGGGAAATCGCTAACCAAGCCGAGTTGCACGAAGCTTTTCTCCTCAACGAAGTTGCGGACTACACCAGGATCGGAAACAGTGCTCAGAAAGACACGAACCCGGACCTCACATTTGGTATCAACATCGATGACTACACGTGGCTGAACACGCGTGAAAATCTTGGCAGCGATCACTACGTCATCGAGACGAGGGTCCCCCTGCCCGGATACAAGAGCGCAAAATTCCCAACGCAGAAATGCACGGACTGGGACAAGTTCAGGCAGAAGCGGAAAGACAGGCCGTTGCACACGATCGAAGAATGGTGCGCACAGCTAGTCGAAGATCACGAGTCTGTTACGACCGAAGTAGAAAATCCTACCCAAGCCCGGACTATGGATAGTAAACTCCAGCATATGCTAGAAGCTTACCGCTCCATATACAGACGATGGAGGAACACCGGAAAGCGGTACCGTAAATTGAGGAAAAAAGCGGCCAAGCTCAGTAAGGAGATTGAAGAACACGCTCAGAAATTAAATCAACAACAGTGGCAGCAAATATGTGACGAACTGCAGGGAAGGCTTCACACCAAGAGTCCATGGACCCTATTCAGGCGCATGTTGGCGCCGGAAGATACCAAACTCGAGAAGCGCAAACTCCTAGCGAAACTCGTCAGAGACCTCAAGGATGACGAAATCTATAACAAACTCAGGACGCAATACTTAGAATCTCCGCCATCTACTACTGAGATTCCAACGGAATACGAAGGGGCCATAAACGACAAGCTGGACGCGCCCATCACCGAAAGCGAAGTCAGAAAGGCCATGGCTGGAGTCAAAACAACTTCCGCACCAGGCCAAGACAAGATTACGAACCGCATGCTACGAAACCTTGACGACAATTCCGTGGAGCGAATCACGGAATACTTTAACGAGCTATGGACTAGCGGAAACCTTCCAAGCAGTTTCCGACACGCCACGGTCTGCTTTATACCGAAGCCGGGCAAGCCACTCATGTTGGAGAACTTGCGCCCGATTTCCCTCGCATCTTGCGTGGGCAAGCTCCTTGAACGCATTATTCAAGTACGTGTTCAAGAGTACATGGAGGAGAACAACCTGTTTACGCACCAGATGTTCGGATTTCGAAGACACCTGTCGACGCAGGACGTGTTTATACAGCTCAGAGAGGAAGAAGACAATAAGAAATGGACCGCCCTAGCAGCACTCGATCTGAAGAAAGCCTTTGATCGCATATCACACGCGGCTATACTCAGGCAAATCTCGGAGCTAGGACTAGGGAAGCGAACGTACAACTATGTTCGCTCGTTCCTATCAGATAGGACGGCAAACATTCAGCTAGAAGGAGACACGTCCGAAACCTTCCCAGTAAATGTTGGCAGCGGAACTCCTCAAGGAGCAGTAATATCTCCGCTCCTCTTCAACATTGCCATGCTGCCAATGTCGCGGAAACTTGAGCAAGTCGCGGGGCTGCAGCACGCAATCTACGCTGACGACATCACGATTTGGACAGCGCACCACTCACCATACATGGGGAAAGTGATGAAAGCCGGCGTAGAAATTGTCAAAGAAGAAGCTGCAAAGATGGGTCTGGAGCTTGCGACTGAAAAATCGGCGCTCCTAGTCAGACCACCGTCGCAAAGAGCTCTAAGAGAAGAGATGGAATTCTACCTCAAGCTGCAAAAAATCGACGTACCGAGAGCCGAAAAAGTTCGAATTCTCGGCATGACGGTAACCATCAAGAGGGAGCAGAGCAGTCTCATCGCTGACATCAAGAGAAACGCCGACAACGTAGCGAGACTCGTGAGACGAGTATCACGAAAGAGCTACGGATTGAAGGAGAGTGGAACATGCCGACTAGTCCAAGCCTTCGTCCTCAGCAGGATAATGTACGCGGCGCCGTACATGGATCTGACCGAGGCTTCGATCAAGCAACTCAACTTAATTGTGAGGAAAGCTTTCAAGATAGCACTGAGCATACCAGTATCCACGTCTACAGAAGCGATGGAACAACTAGGAATATACGACAGCTTCGAGGAAATGAGATCTGCACAGAAGCAGTCGCAAGTACTACGGCTCTCTAGAACGGAAACGGGACGCAGGACTCTCCAGAGAATCAAGGAATGTGAACAACACGTCCTCACAAGCAGAAATGCAATATCCCACGAATGGAAAGATTCGGTACGAGTTCCGCCCCTACCGAAAAACATGGACACGGAGAGAAATAAGGACAGGAGAGAAGCCAGAGCCAAAGCACTGGACAAGCTCCACGGCGACCCGGAACATGTTTACCACGCAGACGCAGGCCCGTGCCCAGGAACATGGAACAAGTACGTGATAGCAGTCTGCAGCACCAACGACAAGACTACGGCCTCTGTCTGTGCGGAGAATATTGACGAGGCAGAAGAAGTAGCCGTCGCCTTGGCCTTAACCATCGCGGCATCCAGAACCAAACAGGCCACAATCGCCTCAGACTCGAGAACGGCCATCTCGAACTTTGGTGATGGAAAGGTTGGCAAGGCAGCCCGCATGATCCTTCAGAAGAAGACACCGCAGACAGGATCCAGATTCTCGTTAACCTGGGTGCCCGGACACTCTGGACACTCGGGAAACGAAGAGGCCCACGCACTCGTAACCCGTGCACAACAAATCCGGGCGACGAGCTGCCGAGCCACAACGGACGGAGACCACTGCTACGGGGCCGCGCCATACGACAGAGGCCCTCGAGCGTACAACGATATTCTAAGAAGTATCCGAATGCAGCGCAAGTTCATGGGCGCCCCTCATAAGCGACTCTCGCGAACCCAAGAATCGACATGGAGAAGACTTCAGCTACATAACACCCTAACTCCCCGCATGCTGAGCAGAACCTGGCCGGATCTCTTCAGCGACAAGTGCGAGGAATGTGGTAGTGTTGACGGTGGCTGGGCGCACACGTATGGGATGTGCCCGAGCAACCCGATACCAGTCACGCTCCAAAGCAGACTGGACGATCAAGACGAAGATCTTCCCTGGTGTGTGCTCCTGGCCTCAGAGGACTACGAAACACAGTTGGCAGTGATTCTAAGGACACTAGAAATAGAGCATCGGTTAAAGACCCGATTGTCGGAAAGAAGATCCCTCCCCTATTCCCCTCCCTAACGAACCCTCGTTTTGGGCATAAGCCCATTTAATAAGGTTCAATAAAGTTGCTGACTGACTGACTGACTGAGCGCTTCGGTCCTATGAGGATTTGTAGGCCGGTGCTCTCGCCTCCGCGACACTGTGTGTGTGTGTGTGCGTGCGTTTGTGTGTGTGTCTGTGTGGGCGTGTGTGTGTGTGCGTGTGTGTATGTGCGTGTGTGTGAATGCGTGTGCGTGTGTGTGTGTATGTGTGCGTCTGTTTGCGCGCGTGTGTATGTGTTTGTGTGTGTGCGTATGTGTGTGTGTGCGTGTGTGTATGTGTGGGCGTGCGTGTGCGGTGCGCGCGAGCGTGCGTGCGTGTGCGTGTGTGTGCGTGTGATGTGTGTGTGTGCGTGTGCGTGTGCGTGTGTGATAATATATTTTGCCCAACTTATCGTTATATTTTGATTCACAAGTTCAAATACGCCAGTAAAATACTCCGATTGTTCTTTAAGGATCTGATTATCTCGGTTTTATAAATATCTGGAGGCGCAAACCCCAGGGTAAATTTGAAATAATTTCTTGTTTTTCTCATCATTAAAACCGTGATTACGGGGTTGTGCGAGCGATTCGCGGTTCATTAATCATTTTTATATAGAGGGTATTCATTTTTAGGCTCTACAAATTTCGTTTAAAAAGTCGCGAAACCCACACCGTATGGGGTTTGTGCAGGTACGTAGTATAGGAGGCTACTCGTTACGATCACTCGGAAAATAAAATAAAGTGTTAATTAAGTTGTTACTAATTGAAAATAAACATGTGCTTCCAAGTAGAAGAAAGTACTAAATAAGAAAATTTTAGAAAGATTAGGAGCGCGCGCGAAACACGGCAGTGCGCTAAAGATACCACTCGTGCATCGGGTGCAAAGCTGGCAGTGCGAAAACCTGGGTTCTAAGAGAGAGAGAAACAGCGCGGACGCGCTGTTTCTCTTTTTCTATCGAGTCGTGACTTTAGGGCCCCACCGCGCTAATCGCGCCCCCCAAATGCTCCTAAAATTGCCTGATTTAGAAGTTTTTGATGGCGCTCAGCAAGTGTCGTTTGAACCCCACGGTTACTTCGACTAGTTAATAAGTTCATTAACAAATTGTACATATTAACGGACTTATCGTGACAATTAGCGCCAGTATTACGTCCCAATATCCAAGCAACTCACCTGCACAAACCAGATTTCTGTAGTTTTTTATCTGTAAAGCCTAGCAAAATCTCCCAGTATAAGAAGACTTTCCAATAATGTTCAATATTTTTGATTGTGTATATAGAGTTAGTACCTATGCACGTTTCATTTGCCTCCTTATATTAGGAGCCTGGACGAAATCTTACCTTTTCACAAGGATGGACAAAATATGTTTCACTGGAGATCAGCGCCATTTATGACAGAGATATTTGACAGTACTGTCAATGGTGAAGACTGGCAGTGCGTTAGCAACATAAACAAAACTATTTAACAGGGCATTCGGCAAAACACGCTTTATTTGATCCATGTTCCCTTCCAATATCACTATAGATGGGGACACGTTGTTCGCTAATAAAGCAAAAAATTCTTGGAGGTCTTCTATTCTTCATTAGAAAACATTTATTTTACGAAATATTTCGAGACGCTTTAGTTGACTACGAAGAATGCGATTTTGTACAAACAATAGCCTCCATCATGGGCAGTTGAAAACTTTCCTCCTTGCCTCCAGCCTCACATAAAGTTTCCAGGAAACACGCACGTTAACAACTCGCATGTGAAATGAGGTGGGTAGATCTGATCAACAATCAAGTAAAAAAAACGCTATATTTTGTTTTGGTGATTATCTGGTTGAAGGCACCGCTTTCATCGGCCATTCCAACTTAGGCATGAACGGAAGCTGCTAACACCAGACATCTCTTAATTACAGCATGACCGCATACAAAATGCACTGAGATACAACAAATATATCATTATGACCAATAAAAACAGGAAAGCTGGCATGACAAGTTCTGCTCACACCAGCAAAGATAACATTAAAACAATTCTAAGACGCGTTTTGTTCAAGCGTGCTACTACACTTTCAACTTATCAGTTCCGCAGAAGCCAACCGGCATTCAGATGCGCTCACAAACAAAACTTGAAGATTGTTCTCTTTGTCGGCACAACAATAAAAACAGTTAAGCCGGATGTAACTTCCAAGGGTTGGTAGAACTGTGATACAACCGGAGGCAGTCTGCCAGAAAAGACTTCAGATCCACAGGCGAAATAGCAATGAGGGATGATAAGTTCCATGAGCCGAGTAGGTATTGCGCTCACAGTATAAACTCAAAAGCGATGTCATCAGTGCCCCAGGGCGATTGCTTTGATGTAGTCGATGCTGGCTCTCTCGTACAAGATGGCCATGTGTTCCACATTGTCCAGCGGCTTGACGAAGACCTTCTCTTTCTGAAGGCCTCTGAACTTGAGGCAGCCTTGAAGACTCCGCAAGTTCACAGTACCGTCGCCATCCCCGTAGACCACCACGGGCTGGATGTCAGGGAATCCCTTGTTGTGGTACTCGATCCTGCAGGATTTCAAAGAAAAAAAAACTTACAGGGGGAACAAGAGATTGATCGCTAAGAATCGTATTTGAGTAACCATATTAATTGAATCGACCTTCTAAGACCCTGATGACGGTGAAAACGTGTAATATTTGCGAGCGGTATGGCTCGTAGAGAGGCGGTGCAAGTTGCAGTTTTTGAGTGGCCGCATGAGTGTGTGTGTGCGTGTGGGGGGGGGGGGGGGGGGGGGGAGGGGGGGGAGTCACTTATCCTGTTTCTCGCTTTATATAAAAATGTTCGCCAGCCTGTACCCCCACGTTGTGTAATGTACTTAAGATTCTTTAAAGTTTCATAAATGATGATTATGATGAATTAATAATATGTGTATTATGTGCAAACATGCGCGTGACTCAGGGGTCCACCGTCGTACCCTATGGAAAACACAGTTCATAAACGAAAATCTTAATGGCGCTTAGAACGACGGGAAGTGGATTGACATGAGTGACGGTAGCAAATTCCACGGGAGTTCCACGACTGAGATAATAGAGAGTTTTAGAATAGCGCACGCAAAAGCTTTGCGTGCACAAAGAATAGCGTCGTCGCCACTGCGCATGCTCCGAACGCAAACCAGATTTTGCGCTTTGCGTGCGCAATTTTAGCGTGCGCTATTTCTCGGAAATAGCGTGCGTACGCAAAGGGTCTTTGTGCTTCTCCAAGGAGGATTCGTGATGAGAAGTTGGCTAAAGCCAAGACGAGCAGAGTTGAAAAAAAATGGCGGCTTCCAGGATTATGTCAGCGGCTGCTTTGGCGACGTCGTGAGTGCGACGTCGGCGGCATCCTCGTGACTGCGATTTTCAATACGGGACGACATTGTACTCGGTTTGACAACGGTCACCGACAGCTTAATGCTTGTGACACACGAACATTTCTCGGCGAAGGTCAGTCCACGAGACCTCTCTTGCCGAGGCGACGCAAGCGGACACGACCGGTCAACCGCTCGCGTCGCATTCTCACGTTTAAACAAATCTAAAATAATACACTGGACTAAAAAACTTGTTTTTTCTTAAGTTAGAGCATTTCGTGTGTGAAATAAAAATTGTGACTGCATCTTGGTGGCGTCGCAAGCGCGAGATGCTTGGGCTTTTGCGTCGCGACGGAGAAAAGCTATTCTAAAACTCTCTCGCGTCGCGTGCGCTAATAAAAGCGCTAAATTTAGCGCTAGCGTGCGCTAAAATTGCGTACGTTATTCTAAAACTCCCTAATGACATTGGCCCATACTTCCCTATGTTACAACATCTGACATCACATATGCAGTGTTACCAGTAGAGCCTCTTAGTTTCTCAGACCAAATACAAAACATCAAAACCTCCGCAAAAAAAAAAAAAAAATGTGGCTTAGTGTTGGCGGTAACGGGTTACAAGTAGGGGCGTTACCGTTACCGCGTTACCTTTTCCGCTAACATTTGTGGGGATTCCTGTGGTCTCCCTTTCCCGGCCGGCCGCGGGTCGGAACGCTCGGCAGCCTTCGCCGTGAGCTCCGATCTGTTCGTGAGGCGGAATTTCGCCTGGCTCTCTCTATGGGGGACCGATTTCAGTGTCCCGCTCGGGTGCGGATCACTGCTGACAGGCGAGGGGGTTTCGCCTCTTGTTTTTCCGCTTTCGGGAAAGGGACTCGTCCGGTGACCGTGAAAGAGATAGGACGCGTGTCAGCGACTTCTCCGACGCTTTCCCCATCTAGGTTCTCCGGAACCCCGCTTCTGGCAGGTAAGGGACCTTTTCTTACTTTGCCGGCGTGGGGGGCATTTTGAATGGGGACAGGGTAGTTCGTTTGGAAGAGTGTTATAAAAATGCTCTTGGACTCTGTCCTTACTCTGGTATGTGTGTCTTCTCTTCCGCTATATTCGAGAAAGTTAAACAAGGTAGTTGATCATTGGCACCGACGGAGATAATCGAACCAACCCGCGGTAATGTAGCCCTAAACGTCGTCTACATTGCCGCGGAGATGTGGGGGCCGCGCTACTAGGTTTGACGTCCCCTGTGGGATCGTCGCCACTGTTGAGATAACCCTTTGGTAACTCTATCGGTACCTGTGTTGGTAGCTAGCAAAATCTTACATAAAATGGCGCCCAACGTGGGGCCACGGCTTCCTTTATCCTGGTCGTGGCTCCTGGCCTCCGTCCCCATGTCCGGCCTTGTTTACCGACATTCTTTGCCTTTTATCGCCCCGTACCACGAGCGTCCTGACTCCTGATCTCGCCACTTATGGCTGAGCGATTAATGCCGAGTCGGCAGCCCGCAGTGCCACTCCTATGAGCGAGCGCAGTGTGATTCGTACATCTGTTCCTGTCTTGAATTGGCGCGCGTCAAGCAACATTCGTTGTTGCGGGAGGCCCTTTGTTCTCCATGCTTGAGGCGAACCCTTCACCTGTGTGTATTTGGGTTCCTAGCGCGCCACCAACAACTTGTCCTGAAGGGAAAATGTATATAGATGTATCGATGACGTTTTTTGGGGGGAACTGGGTGGAGTTTTATGTCCGGCGGGGAGCGATGCTTGAAGAGAAGAGTAGCGAAGGATCAGTAGTGCAATCTGGGAATGTAAATATGCGCGTTTTCTTTGACTCGGAGTAGTCGTGGACACTCATTTAGAGTCGGACGGTACAACTGCCAATGACGTCGATAAGTAGCTGGTACTGCTACTGACGGGCTCCGAGAGACGGGCCGCGTAACCGTCGGCGTCGAGAAGCACTTTGTACACTGTTGACGCGCGCGTTGTATTCACTGCTGGCATTGCAGTGGGCGCGGAGGGTTTTCTTCGCGAAAGATTTGTATCTGCTTGATGCCAACGTACTCCTGTAGCCTGTTGTTGTTTTCCAAGAACGACACTAGTTTTGTGTTTATGGTGGTGGCGCTATGCGGTCCGGGGCGCACTGTGACAGTATCTGGGTGTACGAGTGACTCTAAGACTTTCGGAGGTTATGTTGCTCTGAAACCCGGGCGCCATGTACCCAGAGCGCCCTCTGGCGATGTCTGTCAGACCCGGGTGATCCAGGTTGAAGAGTGACTCTAAGACCTTCAGCAGTTACGTTGCTCTGAAACCTGGCCTTGCCTCAAAAGAAAGGTCCACACCGTTGTGAGCCCTTGATCAAGCCGTATCGAGTGCAAGACATGTTTTTCTAGCCTCGGTAAGCTAGCTAGCTCGATTATTTGGCGAAGCTAGCAGGTTTCAGCGTGTGAGCTGCGGTCCCCTTTTGTCTTCCTCCTTGGGGAGCAACATGGCGGCTATTTTGCGCGGGAACTTGCATCTTCCCCGCTCGCAGACGCGCACGCATGGTGGCTTGTTTCTATCCGCCCCTTCGAAGTCCCCGTATCCATTTACCTCGACTTTAGAAGACGAGCCAGCTGCAGACTGTTATCTGTTTTTGACCACTTATTGTCAACAAACTCTTCCGGTAAATATAAAACCGGGTATTTTTGGGCAATCTATGTTTTAGCTGCCTGCACAAAGGATTGAGAACTCGGCGTTTTTCCTAGAAGCTCTCTCCCCTGTGTCCAGATTAAGCGAACTCAATTAGTTTGCTTGGTATGTGGACGCGTTCCGAACTGAGGGGCCCCCTTTTATGGCTCCTTCTTCCGGTGTCGAAGCGGGTAACTCTGGCATATGTCCTGTGGCCACTCGTCGGGTCCGTTTCCCAAATGTGCGCCTTTCTGTCACCGATGACAAACTGGTCACCTTTTTTGTGGTTTTTGTTTGTCGTTTCCTCCTGCCCTTTCTGCCGCCTTTGCGGTCCAGGCCAGGCGAGCATTAGAGTTCCTGTATAGCTACCTACGCGCGCCCCCTCGTTTTGAGGCTGTGGCGCCAATTCTTCCCTTTCGGGAGGGCTGCGGCCGGTTCTGGGCGTGTTGTCTGCTGGCATTACGACTTCGCAGGTCTGCTTTGAGGTCGTCCACCCCCTTCACCAACCCACTGCGGCCGAGATGGTGCCGAAATCCCTGGGCGGCGTGTCCGGGACTTCCCCAGCTAGTCTCCACTGGTGGGCGGCGGTCGTTGGCCTTTTGGTGCTGTCGCCTTCATGACCGCCTCACCGCCCTCCACTGCAGCCAGTTCGTACCGCGACACCTGGGTCCAACAGTGTCAGCACGGTGCCTGTGATGCTCTGCGGTGCTGTGGCGACGACTGTCCAGGGCTTTGGACTGAAACTTTCTTTTTCTTCGGCCTGGTGTGTAAGCTGTTGACGGCGGACACTGAAGACGCGCGCAGGGTGTCGCGTGTATTTGTTGGGGGTGCGCAGGGAATTATCTTATGGGAGCAGGTGGGCCTCCTTTATTCTTTATTGAGACCCACCTACCGTTTTAAGGACGGGGGATGGGGGATTCCTGTGGTCTCCCTTCCCCGATGGCTGTGGTAACGGCCGCGGGTCGTAACGCTCGGCCGTCTTCGCCATGAGCTCCGACCTGTTCGTGAGGCGGAGGGCCGCCTGTGGTACAGATTCGTCTGGCGTCGCACCAGGTTCGAGGAGGAGGAGGAAATAAGGAGGAAGAGGAGGAAAGAAGTAAGCAGAGGAGGTATAGAGAGAGAAAAGAGGAGAGATTGATAAGGAACCTGGGAAAGAGCCCCCCAAAAATTTTGTTGTGAAAAAAAAAAGGAAGCATGCGGTTGGGGACGTTCCCCGTCGATTTTTTGTGGGCACTGTCACAGATAATTGGGCCTATTTTTCGGATATTCAAGAACCCACTAGATTAATCATTTTGATTTCGTATAGCTGCTTCCTTAGCATTTAGAATTTAGGTTTTTTTTATTTTATTTCACGACGTAAAGCTATTTTGGGCACTCGGTCAATCGTGGGTAAAAATCTGTTTCCCAAACTGATTTGATTGGGGCTGTTCCTATTCCGCTTACAAATCGCCACGATGCGCTGAGCCGAGGGTATTAAAAATATTAACCCTATTATTTATCTATAACAGTAAGCGACTAGCGTTTAGTCAAACATTCAAATCGTCGGCTTCCCCACAAAAAAATACCAACAACAATTTGGGGGGGAGGGGGGGGGGGGACATGACCAAACGCATGCCCCCCCCCCCCTTTTTTTTCACAACAAACTTTCCGAAGGGTCTTTCCCCAGTTTCCTCCTCCCTCCTCTTCTCTCTCTCTATTCCTCCTCGCCTTCCTTCTTTCCCCCTCTCCCCTCCTTTTTTCATCCTCCTCCTCGAGCCTCGTGCGACGGCAGACGAATCTGTACCCCGCCTGGGTAGGGGTCTCTCCCCTCACTCTCTCTCGGGGGTCCGATTTCCGTTCCCCCGCTCGGATTCCGATCACTGCTGACCGGCGAGGGGGTTTCGCCTTTTGTTTTCCCTCTTTCGGGAAAGGGACTCGTCCGCTTTCCCTTTCAGGGCAGGTACTCGGGCATTTTGGATGGGGACATGGTAGTTCGTTTACAAGAGTGGTATAATAAATGCTCTTGGACTCTGTCCTTACTCTGGTACGCGTGTCTTCTCTTCCGCTATATCCGAGAGATTGAGACAAGGTAGTCGATCATTGGCACCGACGAAGGTAACTTATCGAACCGACCCGCGGCAAAGTAGCCCTAAATGTCGTCTACATTGCCGCGCTACTAGGTTTGTGGGGACCGCGCTGTGGTCCCCACAAACCTAGATGTGGGGACCGCGCTACTAGGTTTGACGTCTCCTTTGAGATTGCCACCGCTGTTGAGGTAACCCTTCGGTTACTCTTTCCTTACCTCTGTTAGTAGCTAGCAAAAATCCCGCACATTGTAACGTGCGCGTTCTAATTTCAAACGGTAACGGCTAGCGTACTTACGTTACTCATTTTGAGTAACGTAGTTGCGTTACTCGTTACTTCTTCCCAAGACCTAAAAAAGTGACGCTTAAATTGTTTTCGTGTTTTAGGCACCAAGTTATCTAATATGTTGCGTTTTTTTGCGTTTTTAGGTGAGTATTTAGGCAGAACCGTAAGAAAAGAAAAGGTAATCATGTACACTTTCTAGATCGGCATAATGTTTCTTGATATATGGCGCTTGTGCATATCTTTAACGTCAAAAGAGTAAAACGTGGTCATTCATAATTACAAAAATAACGCACAAGTACCGTGCATTACTTTTTATCTGTTGCGGTAACGGTAACGTGTTCCTCTTATTTTGAGGTAACGTAAGTTGGGAACTCGTTCCTTTTATTTGTGAGTAACGAGTAACGTATTTCTTTACTTTTTTCCTGTAACGCCTTCAACACTGCTTGTAATCTTGGTTACAAGTTCAGGTCTGTCTGTAAAACAGTGATCACCTACATTTCGCTTTTAAAAAAGCAGTCTTGTTAACACTAAAAGCCGGAAGATATATGTTCTGTCTGCGGGAGGTGAACATCACGTAGAAATTTGCAGACAATTTTTTTTTTCTCGCAATGTTTGTTTTAAGGATTATGTTGCGAGTGTAACTTTCTCTTAATCGACGCGAAAAGGGCTCGTACCTCTCGATGGTACTGACGTTTCTGCCGTGGAGACAATGCACCTCGACGCCCGGCGGCGTGGTGTCGAGCATGTAGGGCCGAGTGTCCTTGTACATGTCGTAGCCGTCCAGGAATCCTATGTCCTTGAAGAAGCGGTAGTAGTCGGCGATCGTGTAGTTGGCGGTGAGCGTGGACACGAGCACTTCGCTGCTGTTCCAGAACAGCCGGTCGGGCATCATGTAGGCTAGGCTGGGTGCAGACCTCTGCTCGGGCCGCACCGTCAGCGGGTTGATGACGACCACGCCGAGATTCTCACCTGTTTACAAAGCGGGAGCCACAAAACATTTTCGCCAACCTTTATCTTCAAGGTTATGGAACATGGAATGTTCCATGTTCTATGAACATGAAACATTCCATGAACATAGAACAGGTTCCATTAAACTTCAACATGAAAGCAGTATTTAAAAATCGATCGTTTAAATTGGTTTAGAAGATATCAAACAGTTGGTTCCAGGAGTGAGTACATCTTGTTTAATAATTTCCCCACTAAATTTACAGACAAAATTGACGTCACTTGACCTGACGTAATTTTATGACACGTCACGTCATCTGACGTGATATTATAATTTTCACAAAGTGATCTCGCAGCGGCACGTTATCTAAGGGCCATGTTTCGTAAAAATGGCGTGCCGCACACTGATGTACCTTCGAGCGCGAAGTTTCGGAGCATTTGTTTTTCTGATTTTCAGAACGGTCCACTCAATTTACTTTCGCCCATTTAATAGCGTGGAAAATAATTTTGTTTTCTGCCTACTGTAGCCTTCGTCGCACATTTAACCGATGCGCGACACATCTCTAATTAAAATGTACCAGATCGTGCGAATATTCAAAATGCTAACCATGGGATTTTAGTTCCATAATTTGGTTGCTAACTATCACTTTCTAATTGTAGCCCGACGTCCACCGCGTTCAAAGAGTTTATTCTGACAAAATTATTTTATATCTTCCAGTGTCCCTTTTTTAATAATTCTCAACCGTTGGTGAAGCACCCGCATAAATAGATATTTCAGAAAACTATTAGGGATAGGTCACAATTAAGTACTGGATGCCTGAAGCCAACACCTTCTACTTCGTCCATCTATCGATGATTTTAGCTCTGACACGAAACCACACCACAGAAACGAAGACGTCTAACAAAAAAAAAAAAAAACTCACTCTAAGAAAGGGCTCCAACAAAAACATAAGTAAGCTGCGACATGGTGACAAAGGCAAAAACAATAGGGCTAGACAAAAACCCGCGGTCGGAGACAAACCCCTAATTTAAAGGGCAAGTATTACACTAACGCCAGAAAGGAAAATACAAAATTAAAATTCCGAATAGAAGGCATAACTGGGCAATAACACATTTCAAAAGTCTGTATTGACATCATGCAATGCGTTCTTCGTGCTTCATTAAATCTTCCACTTAAAGAATTTGGACCAATCAATGAATGCGCAGGATTGGAGAAAGAATAAACCTGTAAGACAAGGACAACAAACCACATCCAGGTGTCTACGGTAAAGGTGTGGTTGTGCTGTCCTTGTCTTACACGTTCATTCTTTCTTCAATCCTGACCCGCACCAACACGCTTTCTGACCATCAGTATCAATTGCTATTTATTCCTTTTTCGCTGCAAGTGTTCCATCCTGGAGCGCTGACCACGTTTCCATCACGTTTCTTTCCACTTTCTCTATTAATAAGCCAACGAAAAGTGTAAAATTTGTATTTATATATCGAAGGAGTCCAGAAAGCGAGAAGGAGGTACCAAAGAGGTGGGTTCTTAAAGCAACACCTCCTACGCTACAAGGCCGTAGAGCTGGATGCTTTCTACGTCAGCCACCGGAGTCCATGGCAGGGCACACATGGTCCACTAGGACTGCGTAGCCATTCAGCTGAAACTTTTATTCTCAGCGATTGAGCACGAGTACCGGCTGAATGTCGACGCAGCATTTCTGGTCCCATGTTAACTTCAGGTAAATGAGGCAGAAACGCAAGCACTGGCCGTCTTGTCAACTGTACTCACCGAAACGCTTCCTACTCTGTGATTCGCTCTCCACTGTTCTCATAGGTTCACGCCGCCGTCTCATTGGCTGCCAAGCGATAATATTAAGCTTCGGGTTTATCACGCAACGCATTTATTAATGTTATCAAGGCGAAAGCCTTATATGTCTCATCGTTCACTCGACCTTCAAAGTCCTCAAACGAAAACACGTCGGCGACGCGAAATGTGCCAAAACGTTTACGTGACCACTCAATGGATGACAAAGCGAATTAAAATGATGACTCCGGACATTGATAAGGACGACTCAGCACATTGAGGAGGTTGACTAAACACACAGTACGAAGGATGGCTCCGCACATTAAGAGGAATGACTCAGCGAGTAAATCGTGTGGCTGTCTTTAATGCATGGGCGCTTGGGCTTTCGCCTTCAAGTCGTCTTAGGAATAACATAAGAGACCCTGTGAATTATTTTTGGAACTAAAGACGTTTTCAAACAGCCAGTCTAGAAACCGTGGGTGAGGCTTGACTATCAGACGATTCATGGGAGAGATTGAAAAATTGTCCGCACTCTTGGTTTCGAATTTGTTTTAATCGAAACTTTCCAAACCCAATCATATCGTGGATGATTGCGCAGGCAAAGCCTCGGCTGATTTCTAAGCAAATTGTCACATTATCCGCTGTCACTCGTCCGCCAGACAGAATCAGCTCAAGTGCACGCTCAATGTCGTCATCAGTCGTGGACACGTCCGAGCGTCCGGTCCCTTTTTTATGGCTGACGCTAGTGCGTCGTTTTTTGAACTTCTTATTCATTTAAATGTACTTCATTATGACATAACACTTCCTCCGCACTGTGCACAAAGCCTTCGATGAATGCGGGCACAAGAAACGATGACGGCCCAATGGGGGCACTCATTGTTTCTAGCACCTCCTACCCAACAACTAAACTGACTCAACCCGTTCAAACCTTCACAGCTGTGACTGGAGAGACGGCAACCTAGTGCAAAACACGCAGGTAAGAAGGTACAGTCTCCTGCGATATGAAAGACCCACTGGGAGCGCGTGGCCGAGGCGGTGGCTGGCGGGGGCGCTGCGAGCGCTCCGGGCAGTTCCGTTCTGCTTCGAGGGGAGGACGCTCACTCGGGGCTCAGCTAAAGCGCGCGCTTATCAGTATGTGCTGAGCCCCGAGTGAGCGTCCTCCCCTCGAAGCAGAATGGAATTGTCCGGAGCGCTCGTAGCGCCCCCGCCAGCCACTGCCTCGGCCACGCGCTCCCAGTGGGTCTTTCATATCGCCGGAGACTGTACGGCCACCGTAAATTTTAAATGCAAATAACTTTCAAATCATTCTCGTATATACGTATCCAGCAAGACGGTGGCACCCGGGGGTCGAACCTGCAAACGTCTGCGGGAGGTGCTGATGGAACAATAGCTGAGAAACAGAAGGCAAAGTCACGACCAGGACCCACCGGAGGCGTAAGCCTTAAGCGCTTTCACTGCGCCTCCCCAGGCCCCTCCGAGAGTGATGAGGGCCCTGATGCGGGTGTCCTTCCACGCCTGCGGCCTCTGACTGAGGAAGTAACGCAGGTTGGGACATCCCATGCTGTGGCACACCAGTACCACGGGCACGGCCCCGTTGATTTCGTACGTCTCCTCCACCAGTCCCTGCAGCTTGTCGAAGTAGTCTCCGAGCTCATCTGGGGGAGTGTTACGAGACCACGTTGTAGAAATTGCACCAGTATATAGACGCAGTATAGAAACGCTTCAACTGCTCCTCTAGCTTGTTTGAAAAGTCGACAAGGTTTGCTCTTTACAAGCGCAATTAAAGCTACAATAACACCGATAATATTAAAATTACAAAGGTAAGGCATGTTCAAAACTCGACCAAGCAACAGTCAGTTTATACGAGGTGCTGGGAAGTGTCGCCACTTAAACTTGTATGACAATGAGAAAAATATGCAAGCAACACATATCGGGTTCTGGGGTTTTCACAGACATTTGCCGGAGTATTTGGCTTCTAAGAAAGATACGAAGGAACAGTAAATGCTTCGTGTTTGACGTAAATTATGACTCGCTCTTTCTGTAAACATTTACCACAAAGTCATGGGAAACTTTACAATGCATCATAAAAATATGTTAGGCGAATCTACTTCTTCAGTCGTAAAGTGTATGAGAGATTTCTACGTACTGGGTGCTTTTCGGAAGTCGTAAGGGGCTCCACGAAGGTTGACGCCTCGTTGATATCCAAGGGATACAAATTCCTCGACAATTTTAGTGAAGTACGCCGCTGAAAAAAACAAAAACAAGATAAATATTGTTATAAGAATCGAACGAAGCGCTCACTCGGTGAAGAAAGCGCGCGGTAGCTCCTGACTTTCTTAGCTCGCCTTCCTGAACGGCTATACAGTCTCCTTCTATTCTTTATTTTATAAGATTATCAACCAAACCTGCCTAAACAAAGATAAATTATTCCGACACATAATTTTGTCTCACGCAGCCCGTAAAATATTTAAAAATTCACAGTCCTTTTTTTTTTTTTACTCTGGATTGCGGAGATACGAACACACTCGAGTACACAAAATGAAAACAAGTCGTGTTTTTTTTATGTATTTACTGCTATTCAGAGCATGACACATTCCTATATTATCCCCTGTCTGAAGAAGGCATGAGTGCCAAAAATAAAATTAATAAGTTACTTTCTGTGTTCTAGCATTTTACCAGCTGCAAACAAAGCTTCCCAACGCCATCTTGTCCTTTGCAATCTGAAAGGGAATCACGTGTAGCGCGACGAACTATCGGTCCGTGACCCCTGCTTTCGGGGTTTAGTTGTCCAATGAACTCGGTGCTTTGAAACGTTTATTTTTTTAAATCGATCTATAAAATCGCTGTTTACCAAGGTTTATGTTGACGTAAACAGGAAACTACGGTCATGAGATACCCTAAGCTCCGTGGAACGTGCGTAAAACCCGAGTACTTGGAGAATGTATAGCTACCGATCAGAAGAAAAAAAACAATATATGGAATATCTCGATTTCAAAAAACAAAACGCAAATCTTTACTAATTTTTCTTGGAGAACAGATCCATTTTTGGGGGTTTGGGTTTTGTTAAATTTTTATGAAACCGGTTCGGTGTTACTTTGTGCAGAATTGTCGGCATGTACTAAAAACGCGGAACCATAACTATTTTTTTTCTTTGCCGTTAGCATTATTGACGAACTGATAAAGAGATCTCTGTGATCGCGCGGCTTGTGATAACGATAGTAGGACGTACAATAAGCAGTGAAATGATACGTAAAAGGAATGTCTGCCGAACAGCACTCCACCTAGTATATCAAAATGAAATTAAATGTCAATCTGCTTGTGAATTCCGTTTCAACGTGCAACTTACTCGGAGACACCATACTTGGATCGAGCCACTCGACAGTACTCGTGTTACCAAAGCCAGGAATCCGAATCTCCACGCCTGGAGGGGGAGTGGTGGTGCGGGTGACGTTGTTGTACACCAGCCTGCAAGAACAAGCCCGACAAGCGATTCAGCCAAGCTACCTGCATCCATCCCACACGATGCAATAAGAAGAAAAGGAAATGTCGCCAACTATGGTATGAGTAGTCCAGAGAATCCTAAAGAAAGAGCGTGAGTATCAAAGTGTTAACCAGAAAGTTCCTGATAACATTAACTGTTTCGACACTGGAAGCCATGCAATTTGTAAGGTGCGAAACTGCAAGGGCTTGCAGCGCCAGCTACGGTACGTCGAGTTGTCAACTCTGGGGTAGAGATATTAACCCCACTAAAACTGAGACACTTTTCTGAGTCCTGATAAATATCTAAATAGCGATGACTTTTATTTGGTGTTACACCTGAAGTCTTAATAGCATATTGCCACTCCCTCGCTGCGATAGCTCGTGAAGATACTATTTTTTTAGTGTTCTCGGGCGTTACAAAAGCTACGTATAGATGCATCTGCAGTAGGATTAAAATTTCAGTCTTCTCTAGAACTACGTAAGTGGTAAATCATTACTACTCGGTTTTAAGACAAGGTACAAGTGGAAGGAATGGAATAAATAGGAAAAACGTGCGGACAATGGAACGCTTTATATATACTCCCTTCACACTTAACGGGGTACTCCGGCGATTTCTTGAGCTATCCAAGCTCACTATATTTTCTGAATACTTGGTGTTTACCCTTTTCCGGCATCTTATTTTGTGTCCCAAAATTCAGAATAGTTATCGTGAAATCGGCGAATAAAAGCGATGCCAAGAGCAACATTCAAATGTACCCGTGCTTTTCAGTGCCGTGACGTCATTGGGAGGCAGGCATGCAGGTTGAGCGGACAGTCTAGAAAACACAGTATGCCGCGCATTGGTTGCGTGCTGCTGCGCGGCGGAGACAGGGAGCTTCCAAAGCATTCATCTGATACCATTAAACTTCTTGTCATCAATTTGGACCCAATTCTCCAGCCCAAGAGAATAAACCTCTGCCTGCCGCTAACGTCACTTTTTTTGTTTTTTTGCAAGCAGACATGTTTGTAAACAAAAAAAACAGTGGTGACCAAGCTTAAAAATGCAGTATACACGAAAACTAAATTATCATGGCCTGTGATATCATTCACCTACTTGAATGGGGCTTTTAGATAGTTTTGGGGCACATCGAGGACCGTAATAAAGTCGCCTCTTTGCCATACTAGCGTAGAAGAGGCACGGGTAACAAAATTGTCACGGGTTAGTGTGGAGAAACTGCGTACTCGTGTAGACACTGGACGGCGCGAAGTGGTCCTGTGTCGTGAAAGGCAAGCCCATAAGCGCTCCATAGATATGTTCCCTGTGGGTGCCGTCTTCTATGGTGGAAGTGTGACTTTCTCGGACACTGTTGGAGTGTGGAACGCAGTAGACGGAGCGTGCGGACCGATCTCACCAGCCAGATTTGGTTACGCCACCGCTGCCGCAATGGATCAAGGGAACTTTAATCTTTCTGCACGTGCTTCACTAGAGCTGTGCGCGTGCTTAGACGGCACGAGCTCTCTGTGGCATTCTGTCTGCATCCCGCTAACTAAAGTTTTGGCAGCATGGCGCATCCGCCGAGGCAGCGCTCCGCAGAGCCCTGGGCCTAGAGGCCCTGCCACCAGGGCGCAGCAAAAGAGAACCAAACAATCGGAACAACCTAAACCCGTTGCGGAAAAAAAATTATGCTGCTTTTTCTCGCTCTCTCTAGCACACTTTGTCCGGGAAAGCCCGGAACGCGCTCGTTTCACGGAGCAGAGCGCCGGTGTATGTCTGAACACGGGATGTTTTACCCCCGGCCGAGAGTAACACGAAGTAACTCGAGGAAGAGGTCTGGCTGGAACTGGAGTCCAAACAGTGAGGAGAGGAGCGTTTCGTCAGAGTTCGGCTGGCAGTCGGCCTGTCAACTTCCGTTACTGGCATCTAACCGGATGTCATGAGGTGGGTGCAAGCCATATGACACGTTTTCTGTTAAAGCCCCAGAGCATCGCTTTCAGCTGATACAGCAGCCAAGGCTATGTGTGCGGTAGCACGAAACCTTGACTTTGAAAAGATCTTCCCCTGAACGAGCACTCAAGCTGAAAAGCTTCGTCCCAAAGCAATCAGCGCATGTTATAGCTCGCGCTTGCAGCCTTGCCTCCAGTGTCGCTGTAAAGGTGACCGAAGCCTAATAGCGTAAATACACTATAAAATATATAAACGTTCGCTCCGCCCCAAAAACGCTTAACGGAAGACTGTTACAGACCTGTTGTTTTAGACCTCACCTTCCTGTAGTTTGTCAAATGCGTCATCTGGTCACAGGCTTAAAATTTTCACAAGCCTTGTTCATACACTGGAGCCGTTTGTAATTAAGGCAACATGTGACTTAACCATCTCTTTCTTCCCTGATAAGTTATTTTATTCGGAAGCATAAGTAGACTCTTACATTTTTTTTATATGTTTTCATATCATAGTTTGAATTCGTCTTGTATATAACCCGAAGAGCGCGTGCAAGTAATGGTTCCAAAGCACGCCGACTGCAGCTAGAGCCAGGCGTGCCTAAGTTTAAGATATACCAACTGTTTACAATAACCACGATTGTGAAACAACATGGTAGCCCGTTTCGCGCAACAATATAAAGCACTCATCTCAGCCAGAATATTAAAGAATCACGAAATATGCTCGATGAGTATGCCGAGGGATATTTGCGAACGATCGAACATTCACTGATATGTCAAGCTTTGCAGCTTTGCTTCCTTCACTAGATCGCACCAATTCACATAACTGTGTATCTAAATCGTGAGAGCATTTAAGGTACTGATAATATTCCTAGGCGGTTTGCCCACCTCATGTTGTCAACCCAGCAGTCCAGCACGTAGGGCACCATCAGCTCTAAGTTGACCCAAAGGTCGAAGAAGTCCAGCGTCTTCTTCTCGCAGAGGTAGTGCACCGCGTAAGTTTTGTTCAGCTTGGCTTGCACTTGACTACCTCCATCTCCGGGCACTGAAGAAGAAAATAAAAAAAAACGTTCATAGCAATATTACCGTAAAATAAGAAAAGACCTAATACAAAATCAAGGACGTTTACAAATCTCTGTAATGCGAAACTAGAGTGCAGCTCTGGAGGAGGAGGATTGGCGGGTACGGGGGGAGGGTATATTTTTTCTCCTACTCGCTACCCTCCCCTTCTTCTCTCCTTTTCCTCCTCCTGCCCTCCTCCTCCCGTTAAATTTCCCCGCAAATTTTCCTCTAAATTTGGCAAAAATTTCACCGCTAACTTTATGGGGGAAATTTTCCCGCGGAATTTAGCGGGAAAATTTCCCCGCTAATTTTAGCGGGTTAAGTTTCGCCGCTAAAATTAGCGAGTAAATTGATGTCACGTGACCTCAACACCAATTCAGTTTCGCCGCTAAATTTAGGGGGGAAATGACATCACAGGACTTCGTGTCACGTCACCCATAAACAAATTCCGTTTCTTCACTAGATTTAGCGAGAAAATTGACGTCACGTTCCCTCAACACCAATTAAATTTCCCGCTAAATTTAGCGGGCCGGTAACGCCGACGCCGACGGCGACGGTGATGGCGACGCCGCTCAACGCGGAAACGGGTGCCTAAAAACTGCGCTTTAAAAAAATTATAGATGTTTGCAAATCTCTATAATGTGGAATTAGAACGCAGACCTTGAGGAGGAGGAAGGGAGTCTATGGAGAGGAAAGTATACCCCTCCACCTACCCTCCTCCTCTCTTTCTCCCGTCCTCTTCTCCTCCTTTCGTCCTCCTCTCACCTCCTCCCCCTCTCCCCTCATCCTCTCCTGCTCCTCATCCTCCTTTCTTCCTCCTCCTCATCCTTTCCTCCTCTGTACCCTCCCCTCATACTTCTGCGTACTTTCCCATGCTCCTCCTCCATACGCTCATCTCCCCCTCCTCCACACCCTCCCCCTCTCTCAATTTCCCCGCTAAATTTAACGGGGAAAATGACGTCACATAACTTGGTGTCATGTCACCTTTGAACAAATTCAGTTACTTCGCTACGTTTAGTGGGAAAATTGACGTCGCGTGAGCTCAACAGCAATTCAATTCCCCGCTAAATAACGGGAATTGAATTGCTATTGAGGTCATGTGACATCAACTTCCCGCTAAATTGGGGGAATTGAATTGCTGGTGAGGTCACGTGACGTCAATTTTCCCGCTAAACTTACCGCGGTTAAGCCGACGCCGGGAAACACGAAAACGGGCGCCTAAGAGCAGCGCTCTAAGACAAATGTTTATGCATTTTTCGGTAAATCTTTAAAACCAAGCAAATCAATTTTCTCACATTGCGCGTTTTGATTTTACACAGAAAAACAATTTTATTGTGGTTGTAATTTAGTGTTTTCCTTGTATCTGAAATCAAGCAAATATAGCGTTGTCACATAAAAGCGTTATTTTCCTATAAATAGTCTTCATTATGACAAATCATCGAGAACCGCTCTTGATTTTATGTTTATAAAACACACAGTCATGACACTTTGATTGTTTTGCGACCGTCAGTTAGGGCTCTATTTCACAAAACAAGATAGAGGGTGGTGAATAAAACTAAAGATGATTTCAATTGTGATTTGAATCACGATTTACATCTAGATTTAAATTAGACCAATTAATCCAATCAGAACAAGCATTTAATATTGGTTAATACAAAACCTTTTCGGCAAAAGTAATCCTGAGAATATATACTTCATTTGCCATTTATATTTATCAGTCAAAAGTATCAATAGGGAGTTTTAGTAGATCGTTTCGAAAGCCTGCTACCGCTACGGGCGCACGCTTCAGAGCATGCATCGAAGTGGCGGGACGAGCTCCCGCTACGAATAGCGTGGCCTAGAAACACGATTTACTAAAACTTCCTATTTTATGCTGTCTATAGTGTGCATCTGTATAAACTTAAATTATAAAAAAAAATCCCCCAGGAAAAAATATTTTTACTAAGTTAAACACGAGCGAAAAACAGCGCTCTTCTGAGCTATTGAAGCGTTGAGCTTTCTTTGTACTCTCCACGTCTTTCATCAGTTACGCAAAGCATCTCAGAACTTGAAAAAGAAACGAAGTGAGAGAAGTGATGTCCGGTTGCGACAAGTCAGAACGCGAGAAAGGAAAATACAGCTTTTACACTAACTGACAAAATCAAGCGGCTTTTGTTCTCATTTGGCTTGTATGAACCAATACATTTGTTAATTAAACCACTTGAAATTTGCAGTAATTATCTCTCCCGCAATATTACGGCAGTGATCGGACGGATTGGTGAATTACTCCGCCATGTTTAGACATACATCTTTCGATAAAGATTCACTTTTTTGTGCTAGTAATTTAAATCGAATCAATCTGATTTAAGTCAAATAAATCTTATTGAAATCAAAGAGATCAAATTTAATTTATGCTTATCAAACAAAATAAGGACTTTTTCTACCTTGACAAAAAAAAAAGCTGCATTCAACGGAGGGCGTTAGGAAAATGACGTGAGTGAAAATACTCTTATACCTTTAAAAAAAAACTGTCAGTGCTGTAGTTCTAAGCATGACTTTTTTTAGATTTAAACATATTTTTATTGTTGTCATTTGCAAGACACTTTCGGTAGATTGCAGCTATTAGCTGTCGCAAGTGCTTTCGGTAAAGAAGAGGCTCTAGATTACTTATAGTGTTTGAAGTACATTACCATTTTTCATAATAGTATAATTACGAGTGCTTAAGAGCTCGGTTTCTCGAGGGACTAGAGTATTGGTTTCTTCACTCGTTCCTGACCATAAGGATAACACAAACGCAAGACTGCTTTCCGATCCAGTTCCGTTATCATTGTCACACTTCCCTTGGCCGTACCAGATAGAAAGAAACAAACGGCTGCCACCATATTACAGAGCGCTCGATCTGTCGCAGTCACTTACAGCAAATGCAGCGATTAAAAGTTTAGAACTAGCTGCCTCTTTGTGCAATAGTGGCATCGATGAGCTGATACAGTACATTTCATTTACGATATTCTCGTTTTAGTGTCGGGTTACTGCTCCGCGTGTGCAGCGTGCAGTTTCGCAGGGTTCCGACGAGTTGGTTTTCAGCGGTTTATGCGTGGAAAACTTCTGTTCCGAGAAACTGCTGTTGCACGTGCCAGATGGTAGTGTGTTCACTTTGCTAAGCCATACACAGGTTCGGATTGGGCACAGTTCTTAATTATAGATTGCGTCAACGAATGGCAAATGTTTCTTTGCATTTGACGTACCGACAGCAAACGTTCGACGAACGTTTACTGCCATTACAGTTTAGGTGCAACGTCCTAGCCACAGCTTTTCTGAGAGCCCATGGCCAGCCAGACAACCATTCAACATAGAAAAACATCAGCAAAGGCTGTGGCGCCAATGTTGTAGGTCTAGAAGGTCATTCAAGCTGGAATTCTTAGCATGCTAGCTTTGCGGTGACTATCACAGAACCGGCAACTTTTTGTACTCCAAACGTTGTCGGAGCCACGTCATGCAATCAGTTACAAATTTCAAATTCATTTGACATGAATTTACAAGATGACGGGGGTGCAGACAAAAGGCCAATAAAAATACAACTTGACAGGGTATGCATCTGGTTTTCCTTTTCAAAGCCTTTCATGGCATGACCGACTGTTCAAAACTGCTCTCACAAATATCTCTACAAGTTCTTCGGACAGCGACCCGTTTGACAACGTCTTTTACTCTCCTCGGACGTTAAATATCCTGGACCCCATGTTTCGTACGTGTCGGCATTGCAAGCCATCTTCATATTTTTTTTTTTTTTTTTGCGTGTCGGAATTTGTCAGATCTTTCAGAGTATTGTATGAGTCTCGCTAAACCTGTCGTGGTTGTGATGTTATTATATATTATTTTAATAAGGTATATTCGCTTTTGTAGCAGTCTTCTACCCTGCGTTAGACCATATATGTTCCGTTCTTTGCTTGCTGTGTAAATCGTATCTTTGTGTCGGCATGCGTTATATGTATCATGTCGTTTACTCAAGGCATTAAGATTTTTTTATCATATTTATTGTGGTGTGTAAGTTTCGGTGTGCCAATACCAAGACCGCATGGTCATTCCTGGACACCTAACAAAAATTATTCATGATTCTTGAAAAAAAACTTCTGGATTCTTGATTATTATGATTATGATTATTATTTTTATTATTATTACTAAATGTCGCCAGGAAAAGCAGTTGCTTTATGTAATTTGCATTCTTTTTGGGGTTAAATCAGTTTAATACAAAAAAAAAACTGCAGCGATAATACTCTTCACTTGTGCCTCGCCAGGTTCGACGCGGTGGCTGCTACAGAGAGTGAATTCGCTATGGTGCCAATTGATTAATTTCAACCAGCCTCCGAGGTGACTATACCTTTTCCTTTTGTTCGTTGGTGACTTCAAATGACGACGAGACTGTTAACTCACGAAGGATTTTGTTTGAAAGAAGTAAGGTTTGTTTTAGAAAAGTCTATCTTTCTACAGTTGCTTCGGCATTATTTTTTTTTATCTGCCTATGTTTGTGTCCACATTTTTTGGGTGTTTGCTCGCAGACCCGCGGGGGGGTGGGGGGGAGGGGGTGAGAGCATGCACGGGGAGTCGTTCTCTCACGCGCGGGGGGCTTCGAGCAGCCGCGGGGCTCGGTGTGGAAGAGTCGGACCCCGGTCGTTAACAAACGGATTGGGTTTCAGTTTGTGCGCCGGAACACCCACGTCTTGGGCTTCTCTCCGCACTTGTGGATTTTAAGCGGGTGTGCTTGTGTCCGGCGTATTTCGCCGCTTAGTGTAGAAACTTCGCTTTTAATTGACGCAATAACTTAGCTGGGTGGCGCCAGCCAGGCGGCGAAGAAAGCATGTAGTGACTGTGCAAGGAATTTGGGTCCGACCGTTGAGGTGTCGGAGGGGTGTCATGTAGACAGCTCGCTGATCATTGGGTAAGAGTGTACCACGTGACAATGGGCGATCTTGAAGTGATTGGTCCGTCTGAGGTAAAGGAGGCCCCTAC